GAAAATTAAAGCTATATCATCTGCTCCCACGTTAGCGCAAGCTTAGGTTTTTTTTATTTATGAAAGAAAAAACAGGCACAATTTTTTTCTTAAGTTCTAAGTCATTTTCTTACACACTAATTTGCGATGCTCCTATTCCTTTCTTATTATCTTTTCATGCCCGGCCAGTGAAGTCGAGGTTCAGGAGACCACCACGGCAAGAAGGCCGCTCCTCATTGCCCTGGTGGTGTCGTCCGCACATAAGGGCCTCGCACACCTCCGGTCCGGTACCCTGACTGGAATCTTCCCCAATTCCCATCGCATCTAACTCAGTTGGGCGATGTTTTATTTTTAATTTTGATGACTGGTCCGACTCCAATCACAATCTTACAAATTCTATACACATAGACACCCCCTCTCTCCCAACTCCATCACTTTATCACAGATTTTTTTCCGTTTTTGTTTTCCTTGCTGGCTGGCCTCATTCGCTCTCTAGAGCCTTCTTCTGTGTTCAGGTGCAGTTGATGGTGCTGTAGGGAAGCCCGCGCAGCTCCTGGTTGATGGTTTTGAGCAGCGGATGCTGGCCGCAGCCACACCTGTTCGTGAAGTCGTCCAAGTCGAGCGCCCAGATCATGCCGCCGCCCAGGTCCAGGTCCTTGATGAACTTCGACTGCAATCGCGAAAAATAGTGAAAATGTTATCTAAAAGGCCGCGCACAAAAGTTGAGACAAGGAAATCGTGATGACGCCTCACCTTTCTCCTGATGTCCTCCACATCGTCGTAGCTCACCCACTGGTTGCCCTTGTAGGCGTACGGACCGATGCGACCCTTGGGGTCACGCACCACCTTCCAATCGCGATTCTTGACGTAGTCGCAAATCTGCAAGGTTCGATAGTTTTGGATCGGTCAGGCTGGGCGACAGGATTTTATTTTTAGGACAAAAAGAGTGTCTTGTGCCTCGGGCTCACCTCGTAGTACGCAAGGAAGCCGCCGGCGCGCGTGAACTCGCCCGCCTCGCCGGGGCCGTACGCCTTGGCATTGAGGCCGCGCGTATTGGTGTCGGCCAGCGCGAAGGACTGGCCGTACATCGGCATCCCCATCACCAGCTTCTTGCGGTCAGCGCCCTTCTCCATCCAGTAGTGAATGGTGAAGTTCTGCAACAAGGAAGAGCGCGCGTGCATTAGGACCCTGCTGTGCCGAGTCTCTCGCGAATCAATGCAATTAGAAATTTTAATTTTGCGGATAAATATTACAGAAAAATTTTCAAGTTTCTTTCCAAAATCCTGAATTTTTTCCTGAAAGAATTTTTTGGGGGGAAAATTGAAAAAAAAAACACACACACAAAAAAAAAAACAAAAAACAAAAAAAAAAAAAACGGGAAAATTTCGGACTCCCTAGTTGAAATGTTAAATTACCGCGTTGAAGTAGTCGAAGGTGTCCCCGGGCACGTAGTAGAGCGGCGCGACGTGGCCCGTCTGCTTGTCCCAGTGGCCGTGGAAGTCGTACGTCATGACGGCGATCCAGTCGAAGTGCTCGGACAGCGTGGGCACGTCGTATCCCTCGTCGATCACGAGCTTGCTGGGGGACACGGCCGAGGAGAGCAGCCAGCCTCGAGGCTTGAACACAGCGCTCAGCTCGCGCACGAGCGCGGCGAAGCCCTCCTTGTCCGACTCGGGGCCCAGGTTGCAGTTGACCTGCCAGCACTTGGGATACTCCCAATCCAGGTCGAGGCCGTCGAAACCGTACTTCTCGATGAACTGGACGAGGTTCTCGATGAAGCGTCTCCTCGCCTCGGGGTCGTTGACAAGCCTGCTGTACTTGTCTCCGAGGGAATCGTTCCAGCCACCGATGGCGATGGACACCTTGATGCCCTTCTTCTTAAAGGCCACTACCTTCTGGTAAAAGTCTGCAAAGGTCGACGGACAGTGTCAGAAAAATCATTATAACAATAGCTGCATTTGCAGCTAGGGCTATGATTGCAGCGTGGACCGTGGACTTACTGTTGTCGATGTCCGCCCAGGAGTCGTGTGGCTTGATGGTGAGCGTGGAGCCGTCCAGCACCGCGAACCCGTACGTTATGTGGGTGCAGAGGTCCGCGTCGATGTCGTCCGGGGTGTACTTGCCGAGGCCTTGCCTGCCGGAAGGAGAGAACGGCGGTATGAGCCTGAGGCTTAGGAGGAGAAAAGGGAGGGGGATGCAGTGAGGCCGCAAAGAAATCAAGACTTACCTATACCACGCCCAGTTGGTGAAGTAGCACACGACCTTGTACTTGGAGTCTCCGGGTGGCTTGGCGACTACCTCGGTGGAGGGTGGCATAGTGTCGGGCTTGTAGTCGGGCCCCTCGGCCATGGGTGGCGGTGGCGGCGGAGGCGTTGGTGTGTCGCCGGCGCCGGCCTCAGCCGGCTCCTCGGGGGTGGTCGTCGGGATGCCGTCGGGCCCGTTGCCCGCCTTGCACTTGGAGTTCTCGGGCCAGTCGCAGTGGTCCTTGCTCCAGTACAGGCTGGCCGGGCACGACTGCACCTGCAGCTCCCCGTGCTGGCAGATGTAGTACTTGTTGCAGTCCGACTCGTGCGCCACAAAGTGCTTCTGCGGGTCGCACTTCATGCCGGCGCTGGCGCCCGCCGTATCCACGCTCACGGACTCGGCCTCTGCGACAGGGGGTAATGACCAGTCAGATTGTGCCGCAGCCGAGGGGTACTTCACTCAAAGTGGCAGTGTGACGGTGTCCCACAAAATAAGAAAAAAATCAGGGAAAGAATAGCAAACATCAGGAGAAACAAAAATAAGAAAAAATCAGGACGAGTCATGAAAAATCAAACAAAATCAAGACAAATCAAGAAAAAACAGAAAAATTCGTAGAGACTTGAATTTATAGTGAAGTACCCCTCTGGCGAAGCAGCAGGAGTGTATACTTTTGTCGTTGCCCGCGACGCCCTCACCTCCGGTCATCATAGGTGGCTCGCTGTCCACGACGTTGGCGTCGCCTCCGGCGTCCTGCTTATCCTCGTCGGGCTCCGTGCTCAGCGCGAGCGTGCACTTGGGGTCCGGCTTGCTGTAGCCGCGCAGCACGCGGTTGATGGTGCGCAGCAGCGGGTACTGCTCGCAGTGGCAGCGGTTCGTGAAGTCGTCCAGGTCCAGCGCCCAGATCATGCCGCCACCGAGCCCCATCTTGCGCACCCACTCGGACTTGTAGCGGATCATAGCGATGTCGTCGAAGCCCACCCACTGGTCGCCCAGGTAGGCGTACGGGCCCATGGCGCCCGTGGGGTCGCGCACCACGGTCCAGCCCTTGCGTTGGATCCGGTAGCAAATCTAGAGGGAGCGCATGAGAAAGTGTTGTAAGAAGCCCAACCCAATCGGCATAGAGTTTCCTCCTCTCATAGGGATGTTTGAAAAAAAAAATCAAGAAGGTGTATTTTTTAAATGTCAGTTTTCCATAAATGTTTTTTTTTTAATTTTCCCAGAAAAAAATTCGGGTCTTTAAAATCACTCCTTACCTCGTAGTACGAGAGGAAGCCCCTGGCGCGGGTGAAGTCGCCCGCCTCGCCTCCTCCGTAGGTGGGTGCGTTGAGCCCGTGGTTGTCCTTCTCCGCGAGGCTAAAGGACTGACCGTACGTGGGCATGCCGAGCACCAGCTTCTTGGCGTCGGCGCCTTGCGAGAGCCAGTAGTGGATGGTGAAGTTCTGTGGTGTCGGCGAGGGAAAATGGTTAAAATCACGAATAAAAATCACACTTACATCAGGGAGAGTTTCTTTTCGGCTTTGCTGATCACTGACCGTGTTGAATGTGGCGTCCGCGTCGCTGGGGTGCACGTACATGGGAGCGACGTGACCCGTCTTTTTGTCCCACTGCCCGTGGTAGTCGTAGGCCATGACGGCGATCCAGTCCAGGTCCCTGGACAGCGCGGGGACGTCGTAGCCCGCGTCGATCACGAGCTTGTTGGGGGACACGGCCGAGGACAGCAGCAGCCCCTTGGGCGTGAAGGCGGCGCGCAGCTCGGCGACCAGGGCGGAGAACCCTTGCTTGTCCGAGTCGGGCCCCAGCTTGCAGTTGACCTGCCAGCACTTGGGGTACTCCCAGTCCAGGTCGAGACCGTCGAAACCGTACTTCTCGATGAACTCGACGACGGTCTTGACGAAGCGCTCGCGCGCCGAGGGGTTGTTGGCGAGCCTGCTGTACTTGTCGCCCGCCGAGTCGTTCCAGCCGCCAATGGCCACCGTCACCTTTGTGCCTCGCTTCTTGAGGGCGGTCACCTTCTCGTAGAAGTCTGCAGACAAAGCATAAAAGAGGTTATTAAGACGTCTGCCAGCCATCTTTCCGAACTCCAGCATACTGCGCACCGTGAGATTGCAAGCTAATATACTCACGGTTGTCGATGTCGGCCCAGGAGTCGTGCGGCTTGATGGTGAGCTGGTCGCCGTCCAACACGGCGAAGCCGTACACGATGTGCGTGCAGAGGTCGGGGTCAATGTTGCTCGGGAAGTACTTGCCGAGTCCTTGCCTAAAATCGTAATAATGGGGTGTTGACGAGAGAGGCCAGAGTCCCGCGTACTCAAGAGTGAAATCAAAACTGCAGCACATACCTGTACCACGCCCAGTTGGTGAAGTAGCACACCACCTTGTAGTCGGAGTCGCCGACGGCACTTTCGGCCGGCTTCTCGGGGCTCTCGGACGTCATCTCGTCAGGTTTACTTTCCATTTCCGGGTTCTCGGGCTTGGAGGGGGCGGGCTCTCCCTCGGCGACTACAGGGCTGGTTTCCGGCTTTCCCCCTTCCATCGGCTTTTCCGGCTCCGTAGGCTTCTCCGGCTCCATGGGCTTTTCCGGTTCCGTCGGCTTTTCCGGCTCCGCGGGCTTTTCCGATTCCGTGGGTTTCCCTGCCTCGGGCTTCTCGTACTCCGCCGGCTCTCCTCCCGGGGGCCTCTCGGACTGCGGGCCCGCCAGCTCGCTGCTGCTGGGCGCGGGGCCGAGCACCCTGCGGATGGTCTTGAGCAGCGGGTGCCGCCCCTCGCCGCACTTGTTCTTGAAGTCGTCCAGATCCAGCGCCCAGATCATACCGCCGCCCAGGTTCATGTCACGGATGTACTGAGACTGCGCTCCGCAACAAAAGAAGTGTGTGAAAAAAAGAGAAACTGCCCCTCAGAATTGCGAAATGAACGGCAGGGAAAACTGTGTCGAAACGATATCACAAGTGTGTGGATATTGTCGACATAGTTGTTTCGAGTTTACGTCTCACACCAGACAGTTTTACCCCGTGTCAACGTTCAAAGTGACGCGATGCACTCACCTTGAGCTTGATCATCTCCACGTCATCGAAGCTGACCCACTGGTTGCCGTGGAACGCGTAGGGGCCCATCCTCTTTTTCGGGTCCTGCACTACAGTCCAGCCGCGGTTCTTGATACGATCGCAAATCTGAATAGAAGAGAAGACAAGGACACAAATTTGTAAAAAACAAACTGATGAAGAAAATACGGAATATAAGCACCCTGGCAAGCTCCCGTCTCCACGACCCTGACGTACTTCGTAGTAGGCGAGGAAGCCGGCCGCGCGGGTGAACTCGCCCGCGGTGCCGGGGCCGGGCGCGCGCGCGTTGAGCCCGTTGGTGGAGGCCTCGGCCAGCTGGAAGGACTGCCCGTACAGCGGCATGCCCATCACGATCTTGCGGCGCGGCACGCCCTCCGAGATCCAGTAGTTGATCGAGTAGTTCTGTGGGGAGAATACGACACACACGGTTATTCGAAGCTGCTTCGCGGAGCTCAACGGGCAGAAGTGCATGAGAATGAAATGCGACGCACAGCGTTGAAGAAGTAGAAGTCGTCGTCGGGGTGGAAGTAGAAGGGCGCCACGTGGCCCGTCTTCTTGTCCCACTGGCCGTGGTAGTCGTAGGTCATGACGGCCACCCAGTCGAGGGAGGCGGCCAAGGCGGGAACGTCGTAGCCGGCGTCGATGACCGTCTTGCTCGGGGTGACGGCCGCCGACAGGAGCAGCTTGCGGACGTTGAAGGCGACGCGCAGCTCCCGGACGAACGCGCCGAAGGCGGCCTTGTCCGAGTCCGGGCCCTTGTCGCAGTTGACCTGCCAGCACTTGGGGTACTCCCAGTCGAGGTCCAGCCCGTCGAAGCCGTACCGGTCCAGGAAGTCCAGGGCGTGCTTGATGAAGCGGCGGCGCGCCGCGGGGCTGTTCACCAGTCGGCTGTACTTGTCGCCCGCCGAGTCGTTCCAGCCGCCGAGCGCCAGCGATACCTTCTTCCCCCTCTTCTTGAGGTTGAGGACGCGCTCGTAGAACTCTGTGAACAGAAGATTACATGAATACTGTGCCTGTGCTTCTGCTCCGTCGTGTCTTCTGCAGCGAGCAGGGTCACTTACTGTTGTCGAAATCGGCCCATGAGTCGTGTGCCTTGATGACGAGATTCTCATAGTCCAAGACGGCGAATCCGTACACGATGTGCGTGCACAGGTTGGCGTTGATGTCTTCGGGGAGGTACTTGCCCTGACCCTGGCGGTACCACGCCCAGTTGGTAAAGTAGCACACGATCTTGTAGTATCCTTGAATAACAAGAAACGGTGTCGTTACTATCCCTTTCATTATAGACATGTTGAAACGATCAAAGAGGCGTCGAAACGGTGTCGTTTCTTTATCGTTTTTGACGGTTACCTCTCACTAGGCCTCGGCCTAAGCTTACCGGACAGCTTGGGTAGCGGGTCATTGTCCACAACCGGGGGCGGGGTCACAATCTCGGGCTCCCACGCCCAAGGGTTTTTGGTCGTGGTCGTCGGTTTCCAGGTGACCCACTCGTTGTCGCCGACTTCTACCTCGGAGCCTCCCTGCTCCTCCGGCATGGTGGGCTCCTCGGGCTTGGCGGGCTCCTCGGGCATGGCGGGCTCTTCCGGCATGACGGGCTTGGCGGGCTCCGGCTCCGGGAACTCCTCGTTTGAGATGCCGGAGCCAGGCGGCTTGCCGCCAGACTGCTTGCACTCGGCGTCGGTCGGCCAGTCGCAGATGTTTTTTTCCTGAGAACGGGAGAGGGTGGTCAGCCGCACTCTTCGCTCGACACCACTGACCGCACCACAAGTAGTACCACCGCCCACTTCACCTACCTTACTCCACTGAAGACCCGGCGCGCAGTTGAAGGACACGAGCTCGCCGTGGACGCACATGAAGTACTTGGTGCAATCCGGGTCGCTGCGGAACTCGCCCATCTGGCACTGCTTCTCGCCGCCGCGAACTACAACTAGCCAGAGCGCCAAGTCAGTCAGGGTTGCCGGCGCGTGGCACCGTGTGCTCACGAGGGGCGGAGCGCCTGCGCGGTGGGCCCGCCCGTCGAGCACGGGTGTGTGGCGGGGTGGCCTACCCCGGCCCTCGCAGGGGCTCGGCGGAGCCGAAATAAGGTTTATTTAAATTTAGAGTTGTTTGGGGCACATTTGGGGCGAGGCCCGTGTTAGTTCAAAACAAAAGAAACGCGTTCTAAGTTACGACAACTTCAGCTTGTTAGAAACACTCAGGGTAAGATGAAAGAGGAAACATCATGCAAACGTCTGAGGTTTTAGGAGTTTTTTTTTGTTTAGTGGAAATGAATGTAATATGACAATTGTCGGGCGGGGCGGAGGAAGAGGATTAGCCCGCCGGATCCATCGCCACTGACGACACCTGCTGCACACAGAACGCTCAGCAACACCAATGATTAGTCAACGCGACCGCAGCACGCCGCCACCTCCTGGCGCCGATACTCCGCGCTCGCGGCGCGGGGTATGGCCGGCGAGGAGGTTGGTCGCTGCTGCGGCCGAGCCACAAAGAAAAGCAACAGGTAACTTAAATATGAAAGCATAGGGTCACACTGAAGGTACGCTGGCCGCGGAGAGCGGGCAGCAGCTGCCCTGCCAATAGAGAGGCCCGGCTAGAGCCGAGAGAAATTAAAAGAAGAACAAAATCTAGAAGCGAGGGAGAGAAACCTCGCTCGACTCACGCTCTTCGCCGAGCTGGTCCTTGCCACACTTGACGTTGAACTTCCAGTCGCACATGTTGGTGTCCTGGTTCCACACCAGCTCCGAAGCGCAGTGTTGTTCCAGGCGTTGCCCGTTCACGCACACGTAGAACTTTTCGCAAGCTTCCGGGTTGGGATAGTACTGTCCGTTTGTGCACTCCGTCTCCGGGGTCGACGAGGTCGTTTCGCCGTTGGACTCGGTGCTGCTCGAGGTAGAGGGAGCCTCGGTCGTGGTCGTGGTCGTGGTTGTGGACGTAGACGTGGACGTGCTCGTCGACTCCGGCGTCCAGCTGGGCCAGCTGGTGGAGGTGGTCGAGGGCGTGGAGTGGGTCCACCACTGGTCCGGCCGCTCCGTCGTAGGCTCGTGGGTCCACCACTCGTTACTAGGGGTGGACGGTGTGGTGGAGGTGGTGGTACTTGTCGACGTGCTCGTCGACGAGCTAGTCGACGATGAGGTAGACGACGACTCGGAATCTTCCGAACTCTCAGTAGTAGCATCCCCCATTTCTAAAAACCAAATTAGATTCTTACTCTAAATACCATTTTACAGCTAGTCCTATGGAAGGGAATTTTATCGGGTACTCACGCGCACATCCGCCCTCGGCAGGCCAGTCGCAGACCTGGGTGTCCTTATTCCAGTGCAGCCCCGCAGCGCAGTACTGTTTCTTTAGCTCGCCAAGGATACAGCGGTAGAACGCGTTGCAGTTGCTGGGGTCGGGCTTATACTCGCCGCTGAGGCAGGTCTCCCCCGGGGTCTCGTCAGGAGCCTCCGTTGTAGTCGTGGTCGTCGACGTCGTAGTTATCGTCGGAGGCTTCGGCGAAGCGATCGTAGATGCGTCAGGCTCGGTGGTCGAGGACGTCGCCGATGAGCTGGTGGTCGTGCCCTCGGTCGAGCTGGACGCGTCGGGCTGCCAGCTCGCCCAGGTCGTGGTGCTCGGAGTGTCCCCGCCCTCGCTCCACGACGGCCAGGTAGTGGAGGACACGGCCGCGCCCTCGCCCGTGTCCACGCCAGTGGTGAGCGTGGGCGCGGCGGGCGTGACAGGCGTGGGCGGGCGCGTGCAGTCGCCCTCGGTGGGCTCGTCCTCGGCCAGGCGGCCCAGCACGCGGTTGATGGCGCGCAACAGCGGGAAGGGCTCGAGGCAGCAGCGGTTGCTGAAGTCGTCCAGATCCACGGTCCACGCCACAGCACCGCCGAAGCCCATGTTCTTCACAAAGCGCGCCTGCGACCGGGACGAGTGTTTGAGTCTTTTGAAAGTCCCGCTATGCCCCTTGCACCCTTTCGTCGGACAAGTCGCTAGCTTACCTTGGCCTTCACTGCCGACACATCGTCGTAGCTGACCCACTGCGTGTCAGAGTAGGCGTACGGCCCCGTGGCTCCCTTGGGGTCCTTGCCGACCTTCCAGCCCTTCCTGTGAACTGCGTGGGTGAACAAGCAAATTAGTCTGGCTTTCGTCAAGGACAAGTGGTGCGTTCGTGCGAGAGGAAGGGGGCTTACTTCTGTCGCAGATCTCGTAGTACGCTAGCATGCCCGGCTGGAGCGTGAACTCTCCAGACTCGCCCGGCCCGTCCGCCGGCGCCCCCAGGGTCGTCTGGTCCTTGGACTTCAGCGTGAAGGACTGTCCGTAGAAGGGGATCCCAGCCAGGAGCTTCTTGCGGTCGGCGCCTCGGCTCACCAAGTACTCCAGCGTGGCGTTCTGCGTGGAGAAGAGAATAAGTTTGGCGCTGCTTGAGGCCTCGGCTGTCACATTCAAAGACGGAGCTCACACTCACCGTGCTGTAGTAAGGGTTGCGATCGCCGTCCCGGAAGTACAGCGGGCTGACATGGCCCAGCTTGTTTTCCCAGTTACCGTGGTAGTCGTAGGACATGACGGTCATGTAGTCGACCACCTTGCTCAGTTCTCCCAGGTCGTACGCGTTGTCGATGATATCCTTGTATCCCGACAAGCCGACGGCCAGGGTCAGCGGGGTCGGGCTCTGCTTGCTGAAGGCCTCGTGCAGCTCCTGCATGAGCTTGGTGAAGTTGGGCTTGTCCGAGGCCGGGCCCTTGCGACAGTCCGAGTGCCAGCACTTGGGGTAGTTCCAGTCGAGTTGCAGTCCTTTGAAATTGTGCCTCTTGAGGAAGGCGACCGCGTCGCTGACGAAGGCCTTGCGCGCCGTGACGTTGCCCACCAGGTCCGAGTACTTGGTGCCCGTCGAGTCTGTCCACCCGCCCATGGACAGGATGACCTTGAGCTGGTCGTCGCGCCCCTTGCGGGGGTCCGGCAGGGCCGTCACGCGGTCGTAGAAATCTGGAGGTTAGAGATAAGACTATGAGTTTTAGCACCATCTCCATCTCCACTACAACCGCACTGCCATCAAGACTGGCACTCACTGCTCTCGATGTCAGCCCAGGAGTCGAAGGGTGTGACGGTGAGGGTCTCGGGGTCCAGGGACGCAAACGCGTAGATAATGTGCGTGCACAAGCGCGCGTCCAAGTGTTCGGGGACGAACTTGCCCTCCTTCTTGCGGTATGACGCCCAACTAGTGAAGTAGCACGCCACCTTGTAGTTATCCTCTGCAAACACGGAGCAAAGTATTAACATGAAGTTATTGACTAACTCGTTATTTTATGACAAAGAGGGCGTGTATTCACCTCCAATCAGGTCCCTGGTGATGACCTTCTTGTTCTGGGCTCCGGCCGCGGACTTGATGGCGTGGACGGTGGGCTTGGCCTTCAGCGCCGCTTGGGCCGTTCCCGCCGTGTGCGCCGGGCCGTGGTCGTGGACGATGCCCTGGTCCTCCTGGCAGAGGTCCTTCGGGTCTCCGTACAGGCAGAGGCCGGACACGGCGTGGAAGTACTGTCCGCGCGCGCAGCGCAGGCGGTGGGCGCGGCCCTGCGCGCACCAGTAGTAGCGCACGCAGTCCTCCGGGTCGGCCACCACGCCATCGCGCAGCTTGCACACGTGCGCCACCTCCTCGTTCACGGCGCCTACGGGATGAGCGGAAGATAGTGCGTCAGCAGTGAAGAGCGACGAGCTAACTCATGGGTCGACATAAAGACATTATTGTTCGTGTTCACAACAGGAACAGGCATGGCATGCAGGACAGGTATGTACGTGCGGTCGTGCGGGTGGTTCGTTCGTGCCCATACCTGATATCGCCTTGGTGCCGTCGGGAACCTGACAGTTCGCCTGCTCCGGCCAATCGCACTGACTGGCGCTCGTGCTAAAGTGCAGCGGCTCCGGGCACACGTAGGTCGTCTTGATGTCCCAGTCGCAGCGGTGGTACATGTTGCAGTCGACGGGGTCGGGCGCGAAGCCGGTGCCGGTGCAGTTGGTGCTGTTGCGGTCGACGTGCACGGCGAGACCCGGCGAGGCTGTGGGGGGCGGGCTGGGGGATGGGGCCGAGG